TTTCGGGTTCAAGCAGTTCTCCTGCCTCAGCCTCCTGAGTAGCTGGGACTATAGGTGCGCGCCACCACGCCCGGGTAATTTGTATTTTTAGTCGAGACAGGGTTTCACCATGTTAGCCAGGATGGTCTTGATCTCCTGACCTTGGATCTGCTTGCCTCAGCCTCCCAAAGTGCTGGGATTACAGGTGTGAGCCACGGCACCTGGCCAGTATTCTTAATTATTATGTTTCTTTATTGTACATTGTCTCCTTTCCACCCCTGCTAGAATATAAACTTTAAGAGCAAAAGGATCTTTGTTCAAGATAATGTTTGAGTGCTTAGAATACCACCTGACACAGTGTACATGCTCAGAAGATATTTGTCAGGTGAGTGAAAAATGTTTCATGAACATGCCACATCCTTGGTAAATACTTACTGGGTGAATTGTCAGCTGGGAGATATGAACAGCAAAGGTTGGTATACCTGAGGTATGGTGTCTAGGTTTTACATGCAGGGACACATGTAAGTGTTAAATTCAAAACACAATATATAGAGAGCTTACTCTTACCTGTACAAGGATGTTTTGTTGTAATCGGCTTTGGTTGAAGAGAAGGAACATTTAGAGAGGAAAAGAATGAAGATGTAGGGGCCGGGCACAGTGGCTCATGCGTGTAACCCCAGCACTATAGGAGGCAAAGAAGGATGGATCACCTGAGGTCAGGAGTTTGAGACCAGCCTGGCCAACATGGTGAAACCCCGTCTCTAAAAAAAAAAGGAATGAAGTTGTATTAACTTGAACCACACGCATGAAGTTCCCACTGTTCCACCATTGCCAAATGTTGCAAACAGCAATTTAATATGGTTCCGCCTAATAGAAGAAAAAAAAAAGTGATGTCATAAAGACTCAGAGGAAAGGAAAAAGAGACGGGATCAAGCATGAACAGAGGCATTGTCCTTGAACTAGAAAAAGAGGACACATCCTCAGAGACTAAAGGACACAAGATGTGGATAAGTAGAAGGGAATTTGGAGGGTGGTCACCACACCTCAGTGGCATCTGGATACTGTGGAACATAAAGTATGTAGTTATCTGCTGAGGGGAACAGCAAAAGGTTAGCACTAGTATTCTTCCAAAATGCTGTTATAGACTGGGCGCAGCGGCTGACACAGGTACTCCCAGCACTTTGGGAGGCCAAGGCTGGCGGATCACTTTAGGTCAGGAGTTCAAGACCAGCCTGGCCAATATTGGGAAACCCCATCTAAAAATAGAAAATAGAAATTGGCCGGGCGCGGTGGCTCAAGCCTGTAATCCCAGCACTTT